AACTGCTTAAAAGAAAGGAAATAAAGGGTAGGAATAAATGGTCAGTTTTCAGAATGGAGAGAGGTAAATAGTGGTGTTCCCCAGGACTCTGTACTGGGCCCAGTCCTATTCAGCATATTCATAAATAATCTGGTAAACAGTGAGGTGGCAAAATGTGCTGATAATACAAAACATCTTAAGACAGTTACGTCCAAAGCAGACTGCAAAGAGCTACAAAGGGATCTCACCAAACTGGGTGACTGGGCAACAAAATGGCAGATGAAATTCAATGTTGATAAATGCAAAGTAATGGACATTGGAAAACATAATCCCAACTCTACAGACAAAATGGGGGTCTAAATTAGCTGTTACCTCACTTGAAAGAGATCTTGGAGTCACTGTGGAGAGTTCTCTGAAAACAACCACTCCATGTACAGCGGCAGTCAAAAAAGCTAAGTGAGTGTTAGGAACCATTAAGAAAGGGACAGATAATGAGACAGAAAATATCCTAATGCCACTATATAAATCCAAGGTACACCCACATCTTGAATATTGTGTGCAATTCTGGTCACCCCAGCTCCCAAAAGGTCCATTAGAATTAGAAAAGCTGCAGAGAAGGGCAACAAAAATGATCAGGGGTATAGAACAGCTTCCATATGAGAAGAAATTAATAAAACTGGGACCGATCAGCTTGGAAAAGAAACGACGAAGGGGGGATATGATGAAGGTCTATAAAATCATGACTGGTGTGGAGAAAGTGAATAAGGAAGTCAAGTATCAGGGGGTAGCCGTGTTAGTCTGTCATCTACAAAAACAACAAGGAGGCCACCTTAAAGACTAACAGATTTATTTGGGCATAAGTTTTTGTGGGTAAAAAACCACTTCAGATGCATGGAATGAAAAGTACAGATGCAGGCATTATATACTGACACATGAAGAGAAGAAGGGAGTTACCTCACAAGTGGAGAACCAGTGTTGGCAGAGCCAATTCGATCAGGGTGGATGTAGTCCACTCACAATAATTGAATTATTGAATAATTGAATAAGGAAGAGTTATTTACCCCTTCATATAACACAAGAACTAGGGGTCACCCAATCAAATTAATAGGCAGCAGGTTTAAAACAAAAAACAGGAAGTATTTCTTCACCCAACTCCCCTTCAATCTGTGGAACTCCTTGCCAGGGGATGTTGTGAGGCCAAAAGTATAACAGGGTTCCAAAAAGAACAAGGTAAGTTCTTGGAGGATAGGTCCACCAGGTGACTATTAGCCAAGCCGGTCAGCGATGCAACCCCATGCTCGGGATGTCCCTAAATCTCTGACTGCCAGGAGCTGCGATTGGACGCCAGGGGCTGAATCACTCATTAATTGCCCTGTTCTGTTCATTCCCTCTGAAGCCCCTGGCCCCAGGCACTGTCAGACAACAGGATATTGGGTTAGATCAGTGGTTCTCAAAGTTTTGTACTGGTGACCCCTTTCACATAGCAAGCCTCTGAGTGTGACCCGCCTTATCAATTAAAACACTTTTAAAATATATTTAACCCCATTATAAATGCTGGAGGCAAAGCAGGGTTTGGGGTAGAGACTGATAACTCACGACCCCCCGTGTAATAACCTCGTCACCCCCTGAGGGGTCCCAACCCCCAGTTTGAGAACTCCTGGGCTAGGTGGACCATTGGTGTGACCCAGTGCTGCTGTTCTTATGTTCTTATCTATCCACCTATGCATCCCCATACATCCCCCCCATCTAATCTATCTATCCCCATCCACCCCACATCTATCTATCTATCTATCTATCTATCTATCTATCTATCTATCTATCTATCTATCTATCTATCCCCACACACCCCATCTATCTATCTATCTATCTATCTATCTATCTATCTATCTATCTTTCCCCCCATCCACTCCATCTAATCCATCTATCTATGCATCCCCATACATGATACATCCCTCTATCTATCTAAAATAAAGAGCAAAATTTATTTAAAACTTTTTCTATGTCAAAAGAAAGAGAAGTTGGCTCTTCTCCCAGATTTAACAGAAAAGCCTGGAGTGCAGGCCCCATTACCAGAGCCCGCAGAAAATTAAATGTTTAATGGTAAATGGTAAAAATGTAGAAGGTCGGTTTGTTGCTTTGGTTTTCGAACTGGACCCTATTCACCCCCATACCCCCCATTTTCCACTGATTTTCTTTTAAAAAGCAAACATACATTTTTGTTTGTATTTTAAATGAGATCTTCACATAGAAAATTATTTTTTTATAATGTTGGACAAATTCAAATGCCATCCATGGAGTTAGGACCCATGTGTCCAAACTGAGCAATCCAAAGTGGCAGTGAGAAGAAAGGGGGAAAAAAACAATAAAAACCTTGAAGAGATTTTTTAAAAATCAAAAATCTTGTGTTTGCCAAAAATGTAAATTTCACAAATTGGAAAATTAGCTATTTAAAAATGTTGGACCGAGTTTTGGGGGCGGAAATGGGCCACCAGGTGACAAAACTGACCAATCCAACGTGGCAATGAGGAAACAACAAAAAACAACAAACAAAACCCTTGGGCTGATTTCTTTTAAATAAAAAACTTTGGAAGTGCAAAAAATTGTAATTTTTCAAAATGGGGTTTTCTAATAGCAAGTGATTTTATTATAAATATGGAACAAATGCCACAGAGACATTAAACTGACCAACTTCAAACTGCCAATAGAAGAAAATATAACCACTGTGAACCCTTTTTTTTTTTAAATGTTTCTTTACCAAAAGTTGTAATTTTGGAAAATAAAAATGTTATGTTTATTTTACTTTTTTTAGAAAACGATCTTTACATTTTTGGACCAGCGCCTCCCTGGGACCAAACTGGCCCATCGGAACTGGCAATGAGAGGGAATAAATTAATAAATAACCCTGCCCTGAAGAGATTTTTTTTTTGTCCACAATTTTTCCATTTGTAAAAATTGTCAGTTTTACACAGAAAAGAATTTATCTGAACATTTTGGAGACTCAATAAAGCAAGATAATGTGGCAACGAGCTGAAAACAATAATAATTATTGTATAGCACCAGTAGATTGCAAAGCACTTCACAAAAGAGAATTTGGCACAGGGAGAAACTGAGGCACTACAGAACTCAGGTTTGCTGCAGCCCTGCCCAGTGCTCTACCCATTAGGCCAGAGTGCTCTGAAGAGAGTACATTGTAAGACATGAAGCTGAAGGGGTCAGCATGAGGGTTGTGGGTTGGATCTTAGATCTTTATTTCTCTTTTCTTTTCTGTTTAATAATTCTCAGATTTCTGGGGTCTGACCTACCGGCTTCTAATACCTTGTCTTTAAAAAAGAGAACTAAATCTCAATTTTTAAATTAAAAATATTCAATTTAAATTATATTTTTAATTTTATTTCATTCACTTTAAAATGACTAATATTTTAAATCATATTATTTTAATTTACTTTAAAAATGTTAAAATTTTAAATTTTCAATCTTTTATTTTCACTTTTATGTTATATTTAAAATGGTTACAATTTTAAATTTTATTTTATTTTCATTTGTTATTTAATTTTAATTTAAACATTACAATTTTAAATCTTATTTGATTTCCATTTTTCATTTTCATTTGCTTTTAAAATTAAAACTGTAAATCTTATTTTATTTTATAATTTAGATAATTTACTTTAGATTTATTAAAATTTTAAATCTGATTTTATTTTAACATTAATGGTTTTATTTTATTCAATTTTAATTTACTTTACAGTTATTAAAAGGTTAAACTTTCAATCATATTTCATTGTAATGTTTTGTTGTGTCTAGTTTAATTTAGTTTTAAAATATTAACATTTTAAATCTTAAATCTTACTTTCATTTTTAGTTTAATTTTACTGTCCTGTACTTATAAAATATTTTATTTTTGAGATTTTCTTTTGTTAGAACCTCAATTCTATCTTAAAGAAGTATTTTTTTGATCTGGGAATTTCCTTAAATAATTAATTAATTAAACGGTTTATGCCCACAAATCCAACTTCACAAACTTTTTTGTTTGGGAATTTCCTTGCTTCTTGCGTCTCTCCCTGGGATGTACCATGTGTAATGAATTGGGGTGAGGGGTCTCAGCCTTGCTGTGGGTTGGGTCCTTGCCATGGGATCTACCATGTCCCGTGAGTTGGGTGAGATCTCAGCCCCGCCCTGGGGTGAGGGTCTCTTCCAGTCTTTCCTGGGGGCTCCCAGTGTCCCCAGATTGCACAATGGGGCTAACTGGGGGCAGGTTTCATGGTCAGCTTTGTGTTCCCTGGACCTTGATCCCTCGGTGCATTTCCAGAAGTGGGGCCACAGCTGGATGAGTCACCCCACCACCCTCAACCACACAGCACACCTCCCCCTACCACATACTCCCCCCCCACAATGAACCATCATTCTCCTGCCTTCTCTTATTACCCCTCCCCGCCCCCCTGATCAGACCCACTGGCCCATCTACCCTGGTATCCCACCCCCTCCCTGCCTCTCAGATCAGACCCATGGGTCCATCTACCCTGTTATCCCGCCCCCTTCCTGCCCCTCGGATCAGACCCATGGGCCCATCTACCCTGGTATCCTGCTCACCCCGCCAAATGGGCTCCCCCTCCAAGGAGTTCGCAGACAGCCATACAGAGCCAACATCTTTATTGAGTCCGCTGGGGGAGCGCCTGGACAGTGTGCACCCCCCCCAGACAATCGTTCCCTTCATGTGCCTCCCCCCAGACACAGTTGTTCCCTCCCCCCCATCCCTGGAGGGATAGTGCCTGGCGGGGGGAGGTGGCTCCTTCCCCCACCCACTGAATCCCCAGGGGTCGTGGCATCACACAGGGCAGTCAGTAGCGGCAGCAGCCCTGGCCCCGAGCCTCACTCCACCCCCAGGGACCCGGCACGATCCAGGGGTCCCTGCCCCCATCTCCCTGGGATCCCAGTGCAGCTGGGGGGAGGGGGAGGCTGACCCCCAGTCTCGCTCCATCCCCAGGGACCCCATCTCCCAGAGACCCCCAATTTCATTCCATCCCCAATGCCCCTCATCCCCAGGGATCCCGGAGCAGTTGAGGGGGCTGACCCTCAGCCTCGCTCCATCCCCCCTCGCTGCCGGTGCTGTCAGGGGGGCCCCACCTCCTGGCCGCCCTCCCCTGCCCAGCCGGGCCGGCCCTCGGCCCCGCCGGCCCAGGCGCCCAGCCCGGCGCCCTGGCAGCAGGCCTCGCGGGCGTGCTTGCGCTTGGCGTGCCGCCGGAGGGTGTTGCGCTCGGTGAAGCGCAGGCGGCAGAGCGGGCACTGGTAGGGCTTCTCGCCCGTGTGCACCCGCTGGTGCCGCAGCAGCTCGCCCGACTCCCGGAAGCCCTTCTGGCAGACGGCGCAGCGGAAGGGGCGCTCGCCGGTGTGGATGTTCCGGTGCCGCTGCAGGTGGGAGGCCCGCTTGAAGGCCTTGCCGCAGGCCCGGCACAGGTGGGGCTTGTGCTCCGAGTGGCTGATGCGGTGCCGCTCCAGGTCCGAGAGGTACAGGAAGGCCCGCCGGCACACGGGGCAGCAGTGCGCCCGCCGGGGGGCCGGGGCCGGCCCCGCCTCCAGGTCCCGCCGGGACACCGTGTAGGGCACGCCCTGGGCATCGATCAGCAGCAGGTTGTCCTCCAGTGAGCCCTCGGGGGGCGACGGGGAGACGCCTGCTCCCGCCGCTTCCGGTGGGAGGAGCCAGCCGGGGCCGGCCAGCCGGCTGCGGTAGGGGCCCCGTGGTTTCGGGGGCGGGGTTTGCGGGGGGTCCCCACCCCGGGGCCACCCCGTCAGGGCCGAGTGCAGCTTGGGACCCCACGTTGCCCTCGGGCCTGGCTTGGGGGGCTCCGGCTGGGCCCGCGACACCCCCGGGCCCTCTGGCCGCCTGCCCCGGGCTGCAGCCTCACCCCACTTGGGCATGGGCTGGGCGTAGCGGGCGCTGGCTGGCCAGATCCCCGTCACCTCCAGGTCCTGCCAGGCCTGGCTGCCCGGATGGCCCTCGCCACCCTCTGCCGTCTTCGAGGGCGGGCTGCCCCGCTGTGCGGCGTCCCACTCCCTCCGCTGGGCTGGCTCCATCCGGCGGCTGTGTCAGCACTCTGGTCGCCTACCCGGCCATCGCTGCGGGGCAAGGGGACAGGGTGAGAGCCAGAGACGCCCCAGCGGGTCCCATCCACTCTGGAGCCAGAGCGGGATCGTCCTGTCATCTACTCCCCACCCGATAGACACTGTCAGTGATGGAGACTCCACCAGTGGTTAATTACTCTGACCGTTAAAAAGGGATGCCTCGTTTCCGGGCGGAATTTGTCTAGCTTTAGCTTCCAGCCATTGGATGGTGTTAGACCTTCCTGTGCTGGACTGAAGAGACGGTTATTATATATTTGTTCCCCAGGGAGGTCCTGATAGCCGGGGAACAAGTCACCCCTGAACCTTCTCTCTGTGAAGCTAACGAGATCGAGCTCCTGGAGTCTCTCCCTCTCAGATGGGTTTTCTCACCCTTCAACCATTCTCCTAGCTCTTCTCTGACCCCTCCCCGATTGATCACCGTCCTTCCTGAATGGTGGGCACCAGAACAGGACACAGGATCCCAGGGGTAAAATAACCTCGCTGCGCTTACTCTAGAGTCCCCCATTTTCCATGATCGTATTAGGTCTTTTGGTCACAGAGTGGCAACGGGAGCTCCTGTTCTGCTGATTATCCCCCCTCCACCCCCAAATCTTTGTCAGAGTTGCTGCTCCGCAGAGTCGCTGCTCCCCAGGAGAGGGTCCCCCAGCCCATACACATGGCCGATATCTCTATTCCTAGCTGGATACATTGGCATTTAGCCATATTAAAAGTAGGGCTGTCAAACGATTACAAAAATTAATTGCCGTTTTAATCGCACTGTTAAACAATAATAGAATACCAACTGAAATTTATTATAAGTATCTGTGGGTGTTTTTCTACTTTTTCAAATATGGTTCATTTGGTATCGTTCTAGTTTCTTAATCAAAATGTTGTGCAGTACCAAGTCACATAACTTGCAGAATTCGAAGTATATTACATTGGTATTATTACCTTTAGCAACCACTCCCCTTGCAAAGCTGGAGATAGAACCCAGGAGTCCTGGCTCCCAGCCCCCCTGCTGTAACCAGTAGAACCTACCCCACTCCCCTCCCAGAGCAGGGGAGAGAACCCAGGAGTCCTGAGTCCCACTCCCAGCAGCTTCCTGCTCCTGTCCCCCAATCCACCTTCCTTCTCCTCCTTCTAATCCCTCCTTCACCTCTCCAATTCCCCCTTCTCCCCTCTCCCTAACAGTGCCCCCTACACCTGCACTCCCCAGCTCTCTCCGTTCCCTGGACTGCTCCCTCTGGGTGCCCGTCCCTCCAGGGCACAGCTATGCCCCTTGTCCCTAGCCAGTGCCCACTGCCTGTGCCTAGGAAGGTGATCAGGAATGTGCAGCACCTTGCACCTCCTGACATGCCACGCCACCCTGCCAGGGGCCAGGAGAGGTGCCTCTCCCTTGGCAGCAGGGCTGGACACAGGCAGCTTCTGAGACAGCTATATCAGGCGGAGGGAGAGCAGCAGGTGTAGGGCATCAGAGCCAGGGCCCTGCCCGCCTGACAGACGGGGAGGGGGCGGAGATGGAATGGGCATGGGTGTGTCTGTCTGTGCGTCCCTGTGTCTGTCGGTGTGTCCTGTGTGTCCTCTGTCTACGTCTGCCTGTGCATCCCTGTGTCTGTCTGTGTGTCGCTGTGTCTGTCGGTGTGTCCTGTGTGTCCTCTGTCTACGTCTGCATCCCTGTGCATCCCTGTGTCTGTCTGTGCGTCCCTGTGCCTGTCTGCACGTCCCTGTGTCTGTCTGTCTCTGTGTCCTCTGTGTGTCCCTGTGTGTGCCTGTGCATCCCTGTGTCTGTCGGTGTGTCCTGTGTGTCCTCTGTCTACGTCTGCCTGTGCATCCCTGTGTCTGTCTGCGTGTCCCTGTGTCTGCCTGTGCGTCCCTGTGTCTGTCTGCACGTCCCTGTGTCTGTCTTTTTTGTGTGTGCTGCTCCCTGTGTCTGCCTGTGCATCCCTGTGTCTGTCTGCACGTCCCTGTGTCTGTCTGTGCATCCCTGTGTATATCGGTGTGTCCTGTGTGTCCTCTGTCTACGTCTGCCTGTGCATCCCTGTGTCTGTCTGCGTGTCCCTGTGTCTGCCTGTGCGTCCCTATGTCTGTCTGCATGTCCCTGTGTCTGTCTGTGCATCTTGGTGTCTGTCTGCCTCTGTGTCCTCTGTCTGTGCATCTGTGTCTGACTGTCTGTGTGTCCCCATGTCTGTCTGCGTGTTCCTGTGTCTGTCTGTGTCATCCCTGTGTCCGTCTGTGTGTGCCTGTGTCTCCCTGTCTGCGCGTCCTTGTGTCTGTCCGTCTGCGCGTCCCTGTGTCCATCTGTGCGCCCCGTGTCCGTCTGTCTGTGTGTCCCTCTGTCTGTCTGTGCGTCCCTGTGTCTATCTGTCTGTGTGTTCTGTGTCCGCCTGTACATCCCAGTGTCTGTCTGTGTGTCCCAGTGTCTGTCGGTGCATCCTGTGTCTGTCTGTCTGTGTGTCCCTGTGTTCATCTGTCTGTGCATCCCAGTGTCTATCTGTGCATCCCTGTCATGTCTGTCTGTCTGTGTGCCCTGCGTCTGTCTCTGTGTGCGCCCCTGTGTCCGTCTGTCCCGGTGTCTGTCCCCCTTCCGTCCTCAGGCACAGCCCAGACCCCCCTCCCCAGGCTGCCCCAGACCCTCCCCCTGACATTCGTCTCCCCCGGGCAGGCCGCTGCGGTGCCGGCCGGCGGTGCGGGGCGCTCGGAGCCCGTTAGCCCGTGCGGCTCGCCATGCCGGAGCCGGAGCCCGCTGCTGCCCTGGGCGCTGGCGGCGGCGCGGGGCGGGCGAGTTGGTACCTGCTTCTCGCTCTCATCCCGCAGCTGGGCGCAAGGGGCGGGCGCGCTGCGCTCTGCGGCCGGCAGGGAACGGCGCTGCCAGGCCCGCTCCCGACAGCCGGCCCGGGCCGGGGCACCGGGACCCAGCAGAGCCCCCGGCCGGGAGCAGGAGCCCAGCCCCGGCTCCGGAGTCTGCTGGGTCCCAGTGCCCGGCCGGACCATGGCACCAAGGGCCCCCCGCCCCGGGCACAGAGTCAGCGAGATCGGGGCCCCGTCGGGCCGGGCGCAGCCCAGACACAGAGTCACCGAGATCGGGGCCCCGTCGGGCCGGGCGCTGCCCAGACACAGAGTCACCGAGATCGGGGCCCCATCGGGCCGGGCGCTGCCCAGACACAGAGTCACCGAGATCGGGGCCCCATCGGGCCGGGCGCTGCCCAGACACAGAGTCACCGAGATCGGGGCCCCGTCGGCCGGGCGCAGCCCAGACACAGAGTCACCGAGATCGGGGCCCCATCGGGCCGGGCGCTGCCCAGACACAGAGTCACCGAGATCGGGGCCCCATCGGGCCGGGCGCTGCCCAGACACAGAGTCACCGAGATCGGGGCCCCATCGGGCCGGGCGCAGCCCAGACACAGAGTCACCGAGATCGGGGCCCCGTCGGCCGGGCGCAGCCCACACACAGAGTCACCGAGATCGGGGCCAGTAAAAAGTGATGGGGCCATGGTCCCCTGCCCCCCCTGTTCTGGCGCCCCTGGCTGGGCATCCCCATGAGTTCTTCCCTGCCCCTGGTCCTGTCTGAATTCATCTTTCTTGGACATGGGGGAGCAGCCTGGTACAGCAGCCGTGAGGGCTCAGCCGACTGAGGGGGGATATAATTGAGGTCTATAAAATCATGACTGTTTCGGATAAAGTGAATAGAGAAGTGTTATTTACCCCTTCCCATAACACAAGAACTAGGGATCAGCCAATGACATTAACAGGCATCAGGTTTAAAACAAATACAATGAAGTATTTCTTCACCCACCGCAGAGTCAACCTGTGGAACTCATTGCCAGGGGATGTTGTGGAGGCCAAACATATAACTGGGTTCAAAAAAGACCTGGATAAATTCCTGGAGGATCGGTCCACCAATGGCTATTAGCCTGGATGGGCAGGGTTGCAATCCCATTTCTTCTCTCACTCCAGCCTTTAGGGCCGACCAAATCTTCCTGTTTAATCTTCCAGTGTTTCCCAGCTTTGTCTCACTGGTAGATTCTGTTAGCACACCGCTAGGGGCCTTTTGGGCCAAAGCCAGGTATGAAGATCTCGAGTAAGATTGGTCCCAAGAGGACTTCCACTTGTAGCCAACTCCAGTCCGATAATTCACCTTCCAGCACGGCCTGCTGCCATCTCCCCACCCCCGAGTTCCTCACCCGGCTCCCAGTTCCCCGTCTTCTCTCATTTAACTACGATTTCCCCATGCGGCATCGTGTCAACTGCTGCCCTGAAGTCCAAGGATATCCGATCTACTGCACTTCTCTTCTCTGAAGCATCAGTTATTGTCTCAAAGCAGGAAGTCCGGCGAGTCTGGCACGATCCCCCTTGGGTTTACATCCCCTCTTCCGTCTACCTCCAGGAATTTGATCATTCTTGGCTTCACATTTTGTTCTAAAGCCTTGGCTCCAACTGACATCAGACTAACAGGCCTGCAACTGACAGGGTCACTTTTTCCACCTTTCTGAAACATACCTGGGCTACAACATAGCTGAGCTCCAGTCACACGGCACTGCCCCAAACAGAACGATCAGTCACCAACCCTCGCACACGCCAATTCTTTCCGTATCATGGCGTGGAAAGTGCAGGTTTCATGCCTCTCTCGCTGGCAAGTTGCCCAATAATATGATGGATTCATGAAAAAAATAACTGAGCCTGAAACGATTTCTCAGTTGAGACAGATTGCGTAAAGAAACCCAGTCCAAAGGCACGGATACTGTCTTCCCTTCCCTAGATGCCCAGCTTTAAGCTGGTGAGTGAAGTCACCAAACTCAATCAGGCTGTTCAGGCTTAAAGTTCAGCACAAATCTATTATTGTTGTTATTTATTAGGTGTATTACGGTAGCATCTGGGAGCCCCAGCCGTGGCTTCATAGTGCTAGGTGCTGTACATTATTTATTATGTGTATTACGGTAGCGCTAGGACAATGGCCCACGAGCTGTACATGAGTTGTAATAATGAAATACCTTCATCAATCAGTTGCAACAGTGATTGAAAAAGTTATATTAATGGTTAATTATTTGTCACTAATGTATACCTTAATTAATTGGTTACGATAGGGAACAATAAAGCTATCTTAATTGTTAATTATTAGTAACTAATCAGTTTGCTATAAGTTATAATAATGGTTAATACAGATAGAATTGATGGTAAGTAATTAGCAACTAATCAATACCTTTATTAATCAATAATAATATTGACTAATAGCAATGTATCATTTATTGTCCTTATCAGTAGCAATGTTTTGTTTATTAATTATGTTTAATATCTATATATTCATCAGTGGTTTATTATTAGCAATTCATCAATTTGGTGACTAACCAATACCTTTACTGGTCGATTATAAAAATGATTAATAGCACTGTATTATCTATTGATCTTTGATTATTAGTGGCCAGCTCAGAGTGTCACTGTCTGGGACCCCTTGGCTGGTGCTGATACACAGTCCCTCTGGGGTGGGGCGCGGGGGCTGTTTAACAGCACAAGGAAACACCCCAAGTATTTGGGAGAGGAAGTGACAGAGAATCCAGCTGAAAGCACAGGGGGTATTTAGGGAGGTTGAAGAGAATCCTCCCCTGCACACGGTCACAGTTCAGGCAGGGCACTGCTGCCTGGCACTGCCACAGAAAGCTGGGCGCCAGGAGGTGCTGGAGCGAAGTGTCTGTGCCAAGCCCTTCTCCCGGGTCTCGGGCCTATGGCGCTGCCATCTGATCCGCACCGGGCACCGGCCCTTCGGCTGCCACCTGTGCAGCAAGAGCTTCTGGCAGCTGGCGCGCCTGGAGTGGCATCAGCGGATCCGCACCGGGGAGCAGGACCACTGCCGCGCAGCCTGCGGGAAGACTTTCTGCGAGCCCAGTGACCCGCTGCGCCTCCAGCAGGTGCATGGCTGCCCGCTCTGCCACAAGGCCTACACCCAGCTGTGCTGCCTGCAGAGCCACCAGCTTCCCCACTCCCAGGGGCCCGAGCTGGGCCCCTGCCTGCTCCACAGACTCCCAGGGAGACCTGAGGGACGGAATCCACGAGCCCCCAAGGGGAGGTGGCCTCTGACCCCCAGAGTGACCTCTGACCCCTAGGGGAAGGCAATCTGTGACCCCTGGTGGAGGTGGCCTCTGACCCCTAGGGCAGCACGCCCCGGGTGGGGGGCTGGGACACAAGCTGGCAGCTGCTCTTGGGCACCCAGGCTCCTCATTCTGGGCAGGTGGAGGGTCTGGAGCTCCCCAAGGTGGCCTGGGCTCCATAAGCGGCTCTTACCACTGCTTGGCTCTGGCTTCCAGCCTGGCCAGGGGGCGGGGCCACAGAGGGGGTGGGGTTCCTGCATGTGTCCCACTTTTGCATTTTGAAAAGTTTACCCCAGGTGGCCCCTGTCGGGCGGTAACACCCATTGTTTCATGTTCTTTGTGTATATAAAATCTCCCCACTGTATTTTCCACTACATGCATCCGATGAAGTGAGCTGTAGCTGTAAATTTGTTAGTCTCTAAGGTGCCACAAGTACTCCTTTTCTTTTTGCACAGAACTTAGTGGCTTGCCTGTGCACGGACGGGGACCCGCCCCTCCCCGAACACCCCAGCCCCTCGCCAGATAAACGAGATGAGAATACAATGTCTATGCCTGTCTTCTTCATACGATGGGGGGAAGGGGGCTGTTGGCTCAGGGGGTGGGGAATGGGGATCAGGGCCTTTCCCCTCTAGGGGATGCAGGCTCCCATCCAGCCCCAGGGCAGGGACTGGCTGGCTCAGGGGGGCGGAGACTGGGGCATGGGGCCTCGCCCCTCTTTGCCCACAGTCAAGATGGCTTCTCTCTGTCTGCCCCTTCTGTGGTCCACCAGAGGGAGCCTCTTGGAATGTTTTACTTCCCTGCCCGCAGTAAAGATATTGCCTCCCCTCTGCCCCCTTTTGCCCACAGTAAAGATGGTTCCTTGCCCTCCACGACGCCCCGTTGCCCACACGCAAGATGGCACCTCTCTGATTACGCCTCTCCCTGCCCACAGTCAATATGGCGCCTCTCTGACTGTGTTCCCTTCCCTGCCCACAGTCAGTATGGCTCTTCTCTGACTACACCTCTCCCTGCCCACAATCAAGATAGCGCCTCTCTGACTACAACCCTCCCTGCCCCTAGTCAAGATGGCGCCTCTCTGACTGTGTTCCTCTCCTTGCCCACAGACAAGATGGCGCCTCTCTGACTGTGTTCTCCTCTCTGCCCACAGTCAAGATGGCGTCTGTCCCAGTACCCACCCCTTTGCCCATAGCCAAGATGGGGGTAGAGGGCTGGGCCTCGGCAGGAAGTGGAGATATCGGGGGGGAGCGAAGGGCCCATTGGGTCCGTCTGTGTCCAATCAGGGAGCTGGGGGCGGGCATTGGGGGAACGGGACGAGGAGGGGCACAGCCTACCCCCCCCCATCTTCCCGTGGGGCCGGCAGCCGCGACCCCCCCGCCCGGGGCGGAAGTGACGAGCCCTGGCTGCCAAAATGTCGGCGCCCAGAGGGAGCTGTAAGTACTGGGGGGCGGGGACCCCCGCGGGGGGCGCCCCCCCCACCGAGGACTGGGGGAGCCCAAAGGACCAGGAGTGGGGCTGGAGGGAGGGAAACCCCCGCCTCTGGCAGGGCTGTGGGGTCTCGTGGCTCCCAGCCCCCTGCTCTAACCACTCGCCCCCACTCCCCTGCCAGAGCTGGGGAGAGAACCCAGGAGCCCTGCCCTGCCCCCTGCTCTAACCACTCGCCCCCACTCCCCTGCCAGAGCTGGGGAGAGAACCCAGGAGCCCTGCCCTGCCCCCTGCTCTAACCACTCGCCCCCACTCCCCTGCCAGAGCTGGGGAGAGAACCCAAGAGTCCTGCCCTGCCCCCTGCTCTAACCACTCGCCCCCACTCCCCTGCCAGAGCTGAGG